ATTACGAACTGTGTAAGATTCCTGAATGCGGAATCGGTGTGAGTGAACAGTGTAATGATAAATGTGTATATGATGAATGCGAACACGTCTGTTATTTAACAATATCGATTAAAGGAACGACTCTGAATCCAACGCGGATGGTCGCGAGAGGCGTTACTGCAATTCGATAAGCTGATGCAGCGTAACGTCTCAATAAAGTGATCAAGGCGAGTGGATATTAACTCCGCGTTGATAAGATTTTCTGTACGTTCGTGAGACATTATTTATAAATGCATGAAGGATATCTTATGTTGACTTCGCACGATATTATTTTCTGAATAAAAACATCAAACTGTTTCAATCAGACGTCACAATGTGATTTATTATGTGATATATATATGAAAAACCGACCCGCACACGGAGAGAATTTTCTCTTAAAATTTACCCTGAATTCATGGTATAGTTGTGGGACAACATGTACCACCAAGAATTTTATGCGAGCTATTCTGATTAATATCCATCATAATAAAAAATATTAATATCTATTACATTAAAATATAAAATATCTTTGATTAATTTTACTAAAATATATCTAAAAAATTTCAATAATTTTTCAAAATTTACCAATCTGCTTGATAATTTTTATCACGTTGTTTGTAAAATGTCTTTTGTATATTTTAAAAATTCCTTGGTTGCCAAGTTGTCCCAAGTTTATAGTGAATTTAAGGGTAAAATATAACAAAAAATTCTCTCTGTGCATAGAAAAATAAAAATAAAATAATAAACAAAAATACCAATTTGTTCAATAATTAAAATATTGAGAGCTTTAATTAATCAGCCTTAAAAAACATATCAATTTTGTAATGCCACTTACGCAATTTCGATCATTAAAGATAACGCACATTTGGAATAGATTGGAGATCTGTCAGTGAAAACGCACTTAGAACATTAGAGAGCATGAGAGAAATCAAATCGTTCTGTAATATTCACGATATGACTCCGACAAATCAGACGACGTGAGATAAATTCTCGCGATAGTCGAATTATCCGCGTGAACGGGCAATAGTACGATTATACGAAGATATATATCAGTGTAATTGCGAACATTAGATTCAACGTGATGACTCGTCTCGCGAGCCACGAAGAAATTAGTCAACCTTGCAACGAGGTACCGTTGCTCAAGAACAGTTTTGATGTTCATGCAAGAGATGTTGGTATATAGTGTGGTACCGCGAGTCTGTGGTAAATATATAGCAACATCTGTTAATAACAAGAAGTAAAACCATAATATATAATCATTACAAATATAATTATATCTATAAGACATTAAATCTATTGATAATAAAAAAAGATTTATCACATTCGTATATCCGCAAAAATTCAACGAATAGCGCTTAAGACTTATATTGCATTATACTCGAGCAAACTAATATATCGGAATCGTTGTCGTAAGGGACAGAGTGGCCCAGTTTTGCGAGTCGTGCGTCATACTCGCTCGGTGAAAAAGCGTCCTCCGAGAGGGCAGATTCCATTTTCCACCTTGTCATCCCCGCCATCTCACCCTCCGGCTATGCAAGGCTTCCCATCCCTCTCATTAGCGAGTCTGACCCTCGAGAAGCGAACAGCAGGGAAGAACGCCGCAATGAATACGGCTACAAATGAGAGGACTCCGCGGATGTGACACCGCAGGCGCGCCCCGCCATGAAAGATGCAAGAGCGCTAAATGAAGAGTACCAGTACCGATTACCGTGGATGTCAAAGAGAGCCTAAAGAGACCACTGTCATCAAAGAGGTCGATCTCCCTCACCCTCGATATCGCACCCTCGCCTTGTGTTGTACAGTTTCGTCCTGTAACACGCTTGACCTCCTTTCGAGTTTAAAGGAAACTTCGTACAGAAGCTGGCTCCGCGCAAACAAGATTGTTTACGACTAAGTGGCCCACCAAACTATCGAATAGAGGAATGGCAGCTATAAGGAATAGTGTATCCTTCGAGATATATTACGTTTTACTTATTTAAGTCGTAGTTAGACTTAATCCGCGATCTTTTATAAACTAATAATATACATTAATATAACTTATTCGATGCAACTAGTAAATCTTTATAAATAATGCTCTTGTCTTGCGCTTTGAAAACAATATTTTTTTCATATAGGCAAAATTTTATTGACAATTTCTGTGTGTTTGTTGGGGGATATTATAATTTATAATAAAATCCTTTCCTATATGTATTATAGTATAATAATTTAAGATTATCGAAGATAACTAACCTAATTATAATTTGTTAAAATATATGTGTAAGCACAAATACATACCTTCTACTTTAAAGAATGGTGAAACCAGTTTACGGAGCGCTACTAGGGAATAGAGCAGTTCCGATTTTATTGTCCGGTTACATAAAGCAATCTCGATCGAGACACGGGCATAAAAGTTTGCGATAGTAATATCAACGAGCATGTGTTTCTTTGCGATGAAGCGAGTCATGGCACGATTATATGGAATTCCAGAATTAATATGCACGCGCACGTGGTAGCAGTATCGCGTAGTCTGTAATAAATAGTTACTGTAGATCGTAACGATGATATTAATCAATGGTTACGTTAATTTGAATTTATTGCTCGATAAGAAAGCACGGAGTATACAGAGTTGCAGTGAAATCTCCGTATAGAGTTCCAGATATAGAGTTCCAATATAACATACGAGTGCCGAGAAGATATCCGAGCGAAGAGTAATGTTGTGCAAAACGACAATATACACACATTATAAGATGACTATGGCGGTTTGTCTATTAATAAAAAGTCTATTAACCGGAGAATTCCAACCTAATGATCAACTGCTAAATTTCTTGCTAATTTATCATCAACTATTTGTAATGTAATATCATAACTCTATCAAATAAATATTTCCGTTCAACTAAATAATCACTGTTCAAAATCAAAGTAAACATGTCCTATAATATGTAAATACATATATATATATATATATATATATATATATATATATATATGCGCAACATTGCAGCATTAATTTTGATATTAAATGCAATTTTAATTTTAATTTCGAGTCTTTTGCAAGTTCAAAGATATTTTAAGGTATGTAAATAATAACATGGGAATAACTCAACGTTGTACTTGCAAACTCAATTCTACTTACTTGTGATCATATAAATTATAATATTTTGCTTGTTATATATAGAGGGATAAAAGTCATAATAATGTAAGTCAATATTTTAAAAAATTTGACTTACACCATTATGGCTTTTACCTCGCCATATGTATGTACATTAAGAGATATTATAGAAGCACATATTTTGCAAAAGTTAATCTCGTACAAATATTCTGATTGTGCCAAATTTTTTACATTGCACCCCTAAATAGATGTTAACGGAACAAGAGAGAGAGAGACAGTGCAAGTTAAGTATATTATCGGGCAGAGAAACCAATATGCAGGGCAGAAACTGTCTACAATATAAATTTCGATTGGATTTGAAACTGGTGCTGATGGTCCAAGTTCGCAACTATTCCTCATTTGTAGTAACGCGAGTGAAAGAGGAGGGTAACGCTATACAAATAGCTGTTTGAGTTTTAAGCAGGCTCGCGGGAGCAAGTTTTTAATAGAAACAACCGCGCTTTCCTTACACAACGGTGCAGTTGCAAGATATAATGCCGCCGAGAAAGAGTGGAGACAGCCGTTATCACGCTGCGCAACGCAACGCTCTATTTTGCGAGTGACAAGGCGCGTTTTGAAGTTATAATTACCTTGAACTTACGTTGCTTACTTTCTGCAACGTCTTATTCTTTCTAATATATAGATATATTTAATATTAAATACAAGATTATTTATGCCTCAATTTTGCAACTATAATATCATATAAGTACAAGTACATCTAAACAGTAACTTAAATGCGTTAAGAAAGAACATTATATATTATGTTTTCTTTATCCAAAAGTTATAATTGTTTAAACATATATACAAAAAATTTCAATAATTGTTATTAAAATATAACAGTCTAATATATATTGATATCTTCTTTTTGTTTAATAATAAATTTCAACGTGTAATTTCGCTATTAATATAGCAACTTTCTTTCAAAGTTTTGTAAATACATATTAAGCATCTGATACGTATATGCACACATATAAACGTCTTATAGACAAAATCAAGCAGCTTAAAAAAACGTCTATTATTTGATATGCTGTATATTGATATACTTTATTTGCTGAGTAACTAATCCATTGCCTCATAGAAAGATGTGGGGTAGGATGTCGCGTGTATTCCTACCAAGACTGTGGGTGACCCGGCACCGAACTAACCAGCCGCGCGGGCAAACGCGCTTTCTCGCGTGTGCCTGGCCGCGCCGCGTGTCGATTAGGTTTATAAATTCAGCAAAATTAAGTATTCATCGGTCAATCGACCGTCTCACCAAGAATTAAATTAGGCACATACTAGTCATTATCCGACTCACAGAGAGTCGCAAATGGTATTTTTGGTTAGACATTACACCACACCACTACGACAATAAACAAACCCCAAAAAGAAATTGGGACTCACCGGGTTGTTGGTGAGATTTGCCGAGGTGGATGCAGCGGTAGGACGATGATCGTATTCTTCCGGATAGTCGTCCCGATAGCTCCTGCCAGTAGCGGGTCCCTCCCTGAGTCTCTGACCGTCCCTTTCGTCGAAGGTATCTCGATGGAAGTCCCTAATATAATCCCGGTCGTGCAAGTCCGGAAAATCACTGAGGTAGCCCTCTTGGTAGTCGCGGCTCACGTGGTCTCGTTCGCCTCGAAGCTGCCTCGACATCGCCGTCGGCTCCTCCTCCTCTGAGTCGGGCAGCAGCTGCTCGACTCCACCGCCACCTCCGCCACCTCCAGCACCACCTCCGCGTCGGGCGGGATGACGCTGGAGGTCACACCATCGTACCTCCTCCTCCGCCCTACCGGCGATTTCGCCACGGGACAGCCGAGCCGTGCTTGTTGCCCTCACGACCGATCTGCCTCTGACCTCCTGCCCCCGCGGCCCTCCGGGGGGCTCCACCACATCACAATCAAAGGCTATCCCTTCCGGAGCTCTCACGACACGACTCTTCCGTATCCACCACTCGTTCCTGGTTCTTCCTTGTTTTTGGTCCGCTTGTGATTTGCGTTTTGCAAGTTATACGTATCCCCACTTTTAGTACGGTAAATATCACATAAAATGCCTCTGGAAATGTCTCCTGTGTTGTCAGCTGATTTTGGGGAAGCAGGATGTGCGATAGAGTTGATAAAATTGCTACCTGCAAACTAACAAAAAAAAAAGATTTTGATTAGATTGTATGGCATATATCCCTTCGGATATATAATACATTTTAATTCTTTACATCCAAATCGTTGTATGTTTTATTACAGTGTGTCTAACACGAGCATATTGGGATAAAATTTTATTTGGAAACCGTCATATTGGAAATTATCGATTGATCAGCAATTTTTCTCCTGAGCCAAGTATAGGAAATCTCGTAGAAAATCTTGAAAATTACGGAATTTTTAAAATAGTACCCCAATAAACGTCTTTAGTAAGTCTTGTAAATATCGTAATAAATAAATCCGCATTAGTATTTCGTTTGCAGTCACTCTAGTTCTGATGTCAGATCTAATCCCACCGAAAGACTTTTCCGTGCAGGCAGTAACGATGAGTAGAGATAGCCGGAATGGTCGAAAAACAAAAGGATACACACACTCGATACATATAAAAGTATATTAGTACTTGAGCTTCAGAGAAGCTCTATCGCAGAACAAAATTCCGCACTCTTCACAACTCGCATTAGTATCATGTCGTTATCTGAATAACGAGGCTCGTAACCGTAAATATCTTTCGTTCGCGCCGAGCTCTTTGCGGCGCTCCGCGTACATACGAGCTCTGCCACACAACTCCCCTTAGAGATCCTCTAGTGAGGGATGGGACAAAGCCGTCATTAATGGGAGCGGAAGTGACGGCAGGCATTACGCGTCATTTTTGAATAGAACAAAATAACTGTATCGAAAATGTGTCTCCATAAATTAAATTCTAATTGAGGAATTATTTCAATTAAATTGAAGTAAATAATTGCTCTTCGATTTGGAGAGGTGGGGAAATGGCACATTTTGAAGTCTTTTTTACTTGAATTGCGACAATTAACAGCTTCGCAATATCGCATTTTCTAAATAATTTATATTTATAAATATTAGTTAATTTGATGATTTATAGTTGAAGTTATGTATTCTCTATATATATTCTCATTTCAGTGTTAAATGATAATATAAAATCACATTCAATTGTAATAAAATTAGATTTATTAAGTACAATACTTATACTTTTATTTTTTCTCACTTTATCAGTTATAATACTTCTTATATTTTTTCCTGCCTCTTTTTAGAGGACAATACGGCCTGTTTTGATCACTTCCCCCTGCGGCCATCAGTGACATATACTATACACTATCTTTATTAAAATATACTCAAAGCAGAAATATCCCATTAATGGCGGACGACCAATTCGCATCCTACAGCCTCGGTGTCCCATCCCTTATTAAAGGATCCCTAACTCCCCTCTCTTCTTACCTGACAAGGCCTCTCCGTCTTGCGCCCTTAAGTACTTGCCGACCATGTTTACTACACGTTTAATATCTGGTTTGATTTTGCTTAGCGCGTCTGATGATATTTCTATTGATTAGAACGAATAATTTTCATAAGTAAACGAATTGGTATGATTTACTAGAAAACATTCTAGGAATGTTTCAAAACATAGAAGAAAGCCTGGCGACGATACAGACAGTACTAAATTTTTCTATACAGGAGAATTTACTAGATTGACTTCATAAAGATTTCAGTTATTGGGAGTTTAAATATTTTGTGCGACACTTGCGGTCGCTGCGTGAACTAATCAATATAGCCACCGCGTCGACAGTTTTTAGTCTTGTTCACATACGGCGTCCAGTGAAATTGTGAAAAAATAAGAACTGTGTTAAGGCCCACGATGCTAGAACTTGGTCCAAGTTCTCGGACCGAGGAAATGTTACCGAAACTTGGACACATCAGTTTTGCATCCAAGTTCAGTGTGCGTCCAGCTTTGAGATTTAATATCTCAAAAACTAGACGTCAGATCTTCTCCAAATAGCAAATTTTAGTGTATTTAGGTTTTCTTTATAACATATTTTTAATTTAAATTTTTTTCTTTGACATGCTCTGATGGCCCAATCTCCTTAAGCCCCTTGCACAGTGTCCGGCAACAGGCGATAGAAACAAGGAATAGAGGCCGATATCACAGTCTCCGATTAACTTGATCCTCCGATTAAACTCACTCTGCATCTCTTTCTAACTGTCCCCCTAGAAAGAGACGAAGAGTGAGTTTAATCGGAAGATCACGTTAATCGAAGACTGTGATATCGGCCCTAGAAATCAGAAATCATGTATAAATGCAGAATAAACAGTGACACAGGCAATAGACACAGAGTTTCCATCACGTTGGAAATTCTGTGCCTATTGCCTGTTGTCAACCAATCATAGCATTCGAATTTTTTAGGTTGTAATTAACAATTTTTTGGTTATTTCCTGTTTCTATTGCCTGTTGCCTTGCATTGTGCAAAGGGCTTTAAAGCAATGCCCATTCTAGACTGGAGGATAATCCTACTCACGGCTCATCCTAGTGAGTAGTGTAGACGGATAAAAATAATTGATTATTATCCATGATTTTTACCCATCTATACTACTCACTAGGATGAGCCGCGAGTAAGATCCTCCAGTCTAGAACGGGCAATAGCGATAGCGATAGCAACAGCGACAAGGTTGCCGACAAAGGTATACTTTTGTCAGCAGCTTTGTCGCTGTCGCTGTCGCTATCGCTATCGCCTATTGTGCAAGAGACTTAAAACATTACTTAAGACAATCTTAAAATAATAGGCCTGTTTGTTTTAGCTGAACTTCTTGCATGATTTATCTTTTCTCTTTTTTTCTCCAACGTGAAAAGAAAAAGAGGAAAGATAAACTGTGCAAAAAGTTCAACTAAAACGAACAAACCTAAGATCCGACTATGAATACCGGCCATAGTTCGGCCTCCTTATCTCTGTTCTTCATGGTCTTAGGTATTAGAAGTTTAATAAAAAATTGTGCACAAACTTTTTCACTCATCGGATATTTATCTATTATATTATATATATTAAGCTATTTAAAATTATTTTTTCTTTGCAGTATCCGAAAAGACCACAAATATTGCGAGAAGCAGCTGTGAAGTAAAAAAATCGAAGATTATTTCTAAATAAGGCAGCTTGAAGAAACAAAAATAATTGACAACTTACTGACACGTGATGCGAAAAACGACAGAGGATAAATGGATTATGGAGGTGTTTTCTATTAATTCTCGTTGCGACAGTGGATTGAAAAAAAAGATAAAAAAGGTAAAAAAAAAATAAAGGTAAAAAAACGAAATATATATAAATATAAACCTAGTCTAATCTAGTCTAACAATATATCCTGTAAAAGACTTTCAAATTATCTACATGTTTACAACTTTATATTCCATAATGCAATTTAAAAATTTCTTCTATATAAAGAAAAAAAATACATTGAAAAAACAATTGTTTGAATGCATATTGATTATGATTAAGACAATATTTTTTTTAGATAAAGTTTTTTGGGGACAAACTACTATCGGTTAATCTTGATCTACCACCTGGTCTACCAATAAACCAATATTCTCCAGTGGACTGTTAAACATCCGGCAAAGGTGCATGTTTGAGGTTGTCTCTCAAAACAAAGGTTTAATATCCATATTCACAGGTCAATTTGATCAGATTAAAATTTAAGTTTAATGTAATAGAAGAAATGATAAAAAAAGGAGGGGTTGTAATAAGGGCCATTTTTGACCCCTTCCTTGAATTCAAAAAACTAGAGAAAATATACTCTTTAGATGGATTTCATAATTCTCCCCAAAAATATGATCTTAAACCTCATCGTTTCTTAATTATTACACTTTAAATAGGAGCAATTTACATGAGATTCGACACTTTTCGATGGGGGATTTTTTAACAATGTTCTTGAAATGGTTACATCGTCAAATTTTGTCAAAAACTAGTTAAGAGTATTACCTAGAATATATCAAGAGATGAACGCGATGCAAGCACCCTGTCATGAATGAACCTAAACTACTATTAACGTGTGTGAACATAGGATATTCATGAATTCGACACTCTGAATGACAGTGTGTACTAGTATCGCTTTCATCTCTTGATATATTCTAGATGATATTATACTCTTGACAAGTTTTGTGATGTGGCCATTATAAAAACATTATCAAAAAATAACACAATCATCGAAAAGTGTCAAATTTTATGTAAATTGGTTTCATTCTAAGTGTAATAATTAATAAACAATAAGATTTGAGATCATATTTTTGGGGGGAATTATGAGGCTTATACGAATAAACTTTTCCTTCTAGTATTATTTAAATTCAGAAGGGAGGCAAAAATCTTCCTTTATTACAACTTTTCCTTTATAAAAAGATTTTACTAATATTTGCTCTTCAAAATTATTTTAAAGAGAAAATTGAGACTGGGTTTTTCTTTATAGGATAACAATCCAAAATATCAAAATAATCTTGTATCCAGAAGAAAAAAAATGGCATCAGATTGGTATAAAAAATATCAGATTGGTCATTACAATTAATCGATGTGATGTGAATCTGATTGAGAACGTCAGGATATGTATTGACTTAAAGCTTAAAAAAAAGTATGGGCTGTGAAACAAATATTTCAATAGATTCTAATATTAGCCCAGTAAAATGAAAAAATTTGGAGGAAATAATACTGACTGGGCTGAAACTTTGTAAACAGGCT